AAAAAAAAAAAAAAAAAAAAAAGGCCTTCTTGTTCAACAGGTTCCAAGGACCTCAGCTTCCATTCTGAAATAGCAGACTGCTGCTCATAATTCTAGGTTCAGTGTCAGGAGATTATTCAGGCCGTTCCTGAGGGTCACATCTTCCCTATCACACAGTATTTTAAAGCAGACGCCATCACATAGCAGACCAATCCATTCAGAAAACATTGAGACATTTGATTGCCCTCCCATGACAAAGCACTGAATTACTACAACACAGAAACCTTCCAGTCCCCTCCTCACATCCATCTTTTTATGTGTTTGGTTTTTTCTTTCTTATCAGTCAAGAAAATGTAGTGATTTTATCAGCTGGATGATCAATTAAAACTATTTAGACCAAAATAGTAGAAGTCAAGAGGGGAGCAGAACCAAATGACCTCCAGAGGTCATTTCTAAACTAATTTATTCTATTATTCATTACAAAAACAAAAAAAGGCTTTCTTTGATCTGAAGGCAGCTATGACAAAAAAAAAAAAAAAAGAGTTACTACATCTCACTTGGTCAGTACTGCCAGGTCACCATGATGAACACTACTGAATTACACTCAACTTCCCAGTTTTTCCTATATTGCAGTTCTCTTAAAAAGCAGACAATCACTCTCAGACACAGCAGTTTTCTGCCATGTTAGTCCTGTATATGTTCATGAGTCAACTAAGATTGGCAACAGTCAGCACATTACAAGACAAGCCTTGTTATAGGCAGAGTAGAATCGTTCGTGTGTGCTTGAACCCCAAGTGCCAGACAGAATTAAAGGAGACTACAATTGTGTATTTCCACAGTTAGATTCAACCAACTTGCTGAGAACGATTTTATCACATGGCAGCATTAGGAGAACAATTGCAGCTCAGAACTAACCATCACAGTAAGTAACCATCCCCACTATTTCAAAGCATGAAGCGGAGAAGCTAGCTGACTTAAGTTGTTTCTCACAGTGACTGGCATCACATGCAGCTGGAAATTTTTGGTTCGCAAAAGATTGTTGAATTCATATTTTACATTAAATTATTTTGTCTGGTGCGACATTCTGAACCAAAAAGCTACATGCAAGTGTTTTGTGATTAATAGATGCTTGATAATCTTTCTTAAGGAGCAAAACTTATTCAAGCAAATTGTAAAAACACAGGACAGCTAATGAAACTTTGTATTCCAGTTATCAGCTTCATATCATGAATCAAAACTGTACTATGAAAATGCTCTATAAGAAATTGGTCCATACACTGCCATAAGCTTGCTGCAATACTGCATATAAACTAAAATATCAAGAGCAAATTTGCAGTAAACTGTACTGCTTCAGAAAAACATCCATTGGCCCAAAGGTAACTGCTTACCCTGCTACCAGAAAGTTCAGATGCATCACTGCCTTCACTGTCAGTACTGAATTGGGCAGTGACAGCTTGATTAAAAATTTCCACTACTAAGAATTTGTCAGAGTCCACAAACTGCTTAATAGGGAGTGTTACTAATTTTGCAGGTGATGAACAGGACACACATCATCAGACCAGCCAATGGAAGATCCCAGAAACATTCCAGGTCCCAGTTTCTGACAAGACAGTACACGGCGTACAACTTTGGGACCTGATTATACGCTGGTACAATAATTCCGCCTCTGCGTGACAGAAGACAGACCAGTGATGAGCAGTGTTCTATGTGCTACTTACTAATTCCCTAGTTAGAAAATGCAGCACAGCCTAAAGAAGTAACACAGATAGTTCTGACGTTCACTTATACTGCAAAGTAAGTACCAACATGCAGGTTAATCAAACAGTAACTTTCCTACTCAAACCTCAGCTTCACTGCTGAAAAATGAAAGCAGTTTAGTCAGGTTGTCTCATCAAATGGTCTCAAAGTAAGTAATACTTATCAGTAATACAAAGACTTACAAAAACTCATCATGACTTCAACTATGAAATTAAAGTCAGCTCCATCAGGTTTCAAAAGAAAAAAAAATGCTGCACTGGGAATGCAGGGTCCTTGTTACCCATAGCTGTACACCTCAAGCATCAGCACGATATTACAAAAGGTCTTCACTGCAATTCTTTTCTATAATGTATACATCCTGAGTTTGAAGACAATAGGTCAAAGCATAATATAGAAATAAGAGAAACTTCTGCATGGCTCCTTATCAAGAAGGAATTTCAATCACTCATTTACTAAGATACAGGTTATTTCCCTGCTGGTTACCAGCCAGAACTTCTACAAGACATGAAAAGACTCCATTTTCATAAGCCTCTTACTCAACACATCAGCACTCCTACTAAAGTAGATCTGCTATATTAATAAGTAGTAATGCCACATCACAGATGACCTACAATTTTTCTATTAACAGCTAAAACCAGTTTCAAATCCTACCTATGGAGCCATCTGGAGCCTGGAGAACACAGACTACAAGTCAGTATCACAAGCTGAACACCAGATTTTACAGAAACACTAAGAGGGAAAAAAAATAACGCCCACACTCAGACCACCTATATTTCTATCTCAAGAATTGGAGGCACTCAGCAACAAACGTTTCAGAAAAAAACTTCAATTTTTAAGATCAAACCTATAGAACTACACTATGTGCACAACTGAGCCACTCACAATAAGTTCCCTTACCACAAGCTGAAAAACTGAGCTTTTAAGAAGCACTAGAAGTGTTATTTACTCACCAGAATACTGCTTTTAAACATTTTAGTTGAGTGTGACACCTGTAAAAATTGAAATACTACAATTTTCATTAATGTATTTAATCCCTATGAATATTTATCAGTTAGGGTATCTAAAAGCAGAGAGGTATTGTTATTTTTCAAGCACTGCTTTGATCTTCATCACACATTTGTATATGCATGTATTAAAATTTTTTAAAATACTTTGAAATCTCACAGATCTGTTTAAGCAGCAATTAAACACACACAGCCTGCATACAACCAGGAACAATCTTGGAGGCGGGGAGGGAAAGAGAGAACTGTAAAGAAGGCAGCAGATAAACAGAAGCAATCACAGCAAGGCCTGCTTGTTTTTGAAGCCTTCCAAAGGAACTATATCCAGTTACAGCAAAAAAAGCTTGTGAAATAAACTAAAACGTAAGTCATTAAACACCTCCTCTTCCCTATTCTGAAGGATTTATGTCATACAGTGAGGTGGTAACTAATTAGCTCCTCTTCCTGACAGCTTTTAAAGCACCAGGAAGCTCAGTAAGCAGAACGCAGTGCAGAAACTGTGGAAGTTGCCCCATTCAAGGAAAGTTTTGTACTGTGGGGTTAGAAAGCCCAGATCAGTGTTGTGACTGCAACAGGGTATGGAAATGGCACGGTAGGAGAAAAAAAAAAAAGAAAAAAAAAAAGAGAACGAGACGATGCAATCTTGTATAATCATCTGGAAATATATATATATATATGAAATATTTCTAACTAAAATTAATACTAGATTGCTACACGTAACAAAACCACCCTCCAAACAAACTGCACAGGCTCTGAAAACGCTCCCGATCCGCACACCAGAGTTACAGAATCAATGTAGGCCAGTACCAAGCACCCGTTTCTTCCCGTGTGTAAATGCGACACAATCAGGCCTCACAGGCAGGCCTTCCCAGCACAGGCAGGACCTTTGTTCCTTACGTCGATGTTTTTCCCCCGAAGCCCTCGACATAACTTTCCATTCTTCCCCCCGTTCTCTCCCGGCTCACGGCCCAGACTCTCGGGCCGCCCCCGCTCGGAGCCCCCCGGCGGCCGAGGGCCGGCGCACCAGGAAGGGGGGCCGGGAACAATGCCGGGCCACGGCGCAGGAAAGCAGGCCCGCAGCGCGGCGGGCAGCGCCGGGACGGCACCGGGCAGCGCCGGGCGGGAGGGCGGGCCAGCAGCCGCCGCCGGAGCGACCTCCGAGCGCGATACGTTATGCAAGAGAACGGCGCGGCCGGGAACTCGTATCGCGACCGAAAGCGACAAAAAACAGCGGCTCCGGAGTGCTGGCTGCGAAAATAATCCGGCGGGCAGGGCCGCAGCTCGGCCCTACATCGCCTCCGTTGTCTCCCCACCTCCTTCCTCTTCCTTCCCCCAGAAAGGCTCTGAAATATGGACGACGGGCGATTATGGAGCATTTTTGCCAAGCCGGGCTGTGAGGTGGGGGGGAGGGGGAGAGGAGTTGCTTTTTTTTATTTTTCCTCTAAGATATTTGATAGCGTCTACGGGAAAGGAAAAAAGAAAGGAAAAAATAAAGAAAGAAGGAAAGAAAAAGAAAAACAAAGAAAAACATGGGAAGAATCGTCAGGGCAGAGGGGCCGACGGCAGCGGGGGAGGGAGAGGCGGAAGGGCACGGCGCGGTGTCAACACTGACGCTGCCCTTTTGTATCGGCAGCGGCACCGGGCCGGGCCGCCCCCCCCCCCCGGCCTCTCGCGGCCCTCAGCCCCCACCGCCACCCCGGGCTGCGCGCCCACCCCCCCGCCCGGAGGCGAGGAACGGCGGCCCGGCCCCGCGGCCCGATGGCCGGCCCAATTGCCGCCCCACCGACCCCTCGGCCCCCGTACCCCGCACCCACCTCGGAGCCCAGCCGCCCCCGCGCACCCCAACAACGGCCCGGGCCGGAGCCCCGCAGAAGGGCGGCGCGGTTGGGCAGACACGGCGGGGCCCATAGAACGGGGGCCCGGGAACCGGGGACTCAGAACGCCAAGGAGCCTCAGAACACTGAGGCCCCGCGGCCCACCTCCCCCAGTGGCCCAGCGAGGAAGCGGAGGGGCCGCGGGTACCTAGTTTGTCCCGATGCGGCCTCCGCAGACGCTCCGTGCCTCCTCGCCGCCCGGCAGCAGCCGCCTCTCTTCCCTTCAATTATCAGCTGAAGCCGCAGCACCGAGCGGCATCCGCCTCCGCCGCCGAACCCCTTCCAGCGGCGCGGGGGGGAGCCCGGCGGACTACTTTCTCCCGGCGTCGAGGCCCCGGCGGGGCCCGCGCAGCCTCCGGCCCGACGGGCGGCCCCCGCCCGGGCTGCCGCCCCCCACGCGGCCCCCGCGGCGGCCGTGCGCGCGCCCGGTTCCCTGCGCTCGGTGGGTTCGGCGGCCGCAGCGCGGTATCCCTCCGCCGGGGTCGTCACCCCGGGGTCCGCGCCGGGACCTCCCCTCCGGCAGGGGGCGGGAGGGGCGAGAGAGGCCCGCGGGGCAGCGGCGCTCCGCGGGGGGCTCAAACGCTGGCCGGCCGCTGTGCCGGAGCCGCCTCTGCTCCTTTAAGAGGGGGCCGGGCCGGCGGTGACCCCGCGCGATGTCCGCCTCTTCCTGGTTGCTATAGTCACCGCCTTCCAGCGTCCCAAAATGGCGCCGAGCCGCCCGCGGAGGCGTCCGAGGGTGCGTCTGGGCCCTGAGCGAGGACCGCCGGCGGCCGCTGTCACCTGGCGCGAGGTGCGGGCCAGGCCGCTTGGATCGCGGCTTTGAATTCTCTCTCCTTTCCGTCTGAGGCACCGGGGGGCCGTTCCCACCTGTTGCCGCTGCTGTGAGGGCCGCGTTGAGGGAAGGGGCGCGGGGCATCCCGAGGGAGGGAGCTGCCGCCTAAAGGAGGGCGGTGAGAGGCGGGGTGGGGGGCGCCGCTCATGCCCGAGGGTGTGTGTGTTGGGGGGCGGGGGGGGGGCTGGGTGAGTGCTGGGGGGGACAGTCCTGTGAGGGGTTGGCGCCTCGAGAACGTGTGCGAAAACATGTGACTTGGTCATCTTGAAACTAAGTGGTGTTAAGAAAGGTATGGTAAACGATGGAAGTAAGCGGGCGAATCGCAAATCCTTAATTACGTCCCTGTATTTGTCCTAGGGAAAGGCAAGATGAGCTGCGCCTCAGGGTAGCTGGATTTGAGAAAGAAAATAGTCCAACAACTCGCACTAGGAGAATAAAGCTAAATTGTCTGTCGAGGGAATAGGAAGACTGAAAACAGCCAAACGGTTTTCTTCTGGAGATGAGGAAACTTGTCAGGTTTGCAATCGAGAAATTAAAGGGAGTGGGAGGTGGCAAACTGAATTAAGCTGCTAGTCCAAATAACCTGTGTTTTGTTTTTGTTTTAATGTGCTCCTTCTCTTGGTTTCTCTCATGCCACGTTTTTTAAATTCAGTAGAGCCTGTAGATGTTTCAGAAAGGTGGACAACGGAGGAGTGTAATTTTAATCTCCCCCAAAATTTGTTTGAGGTAGAAGTTCCAGAGTAACTCCGGGGACCTCTAAGTTCCAAAATGAAGAGTGGTTATGGTGCTGCGCAACAGCTGAGAAATGTGTTATGTTTCATAGCTGAAGTCTTGTAATGGGCCTCCCCGATGGACCTTGTGGCAATCGTATCAGTGCTGTGATATTTATGGAGCATTCATTGAGTGCTCTGGGCTATTTAACATACACTTTTGCACTCAGCTAGTAATCTAAAGCTCCAGCCTTGCACACAGTTGCATGTACACTGAATTTTCTACTTTGATTAGTCCCATTCTTCAAAGTCAATGTTTTAGAAATGATGCATAGTTTTTTTTAAGCTGAAAAAAAGTGTCCACAGCTCTATGGTGTATTTGTGTGAAGGCTTTTGTATTTTTGTGAGCACAGCCCTACTTTGAATTGGCTCTGTAAGCTTTACATGAGCAGTAAATTTGGCTCTTCGATGGCAAAGTTAGTAATTTGGGAATGGTTTATACAGCTTCAGAATGTGTAGACCAGTAGTCATGGGCAGGCATTCCAGGTACCAGCTGACTAACAGCTCAAACTATCCTGGAACAAGAAATCCCTCTGCAAATACAGAAAGCCTTAGGGAAGTTTTAGAGCAAAAAAATACAGTTGAACAAAAGGCGGTCCTCGGTGGGGAGGAAACCAGTGCATTGCAACAAGCTTTGTGTTCAGCCCTGTCAACACTGTTTTGTCCAGCTTTTTCCCCTCGCTCCAGGGAATTGAATTTTTTTTTCCATTATGCACCCTGGTATACAAGGGATGTTCTACAGACAGTTTTTCTGAAGTCTGCTACTGCCTCATGGTCAGTACAGTAGGCTTAAGCTGTATAATTGAACATAAGTGAATTGAAATTGCTACAAATAAAAATAAAGGATATCTCTGAAACCAGAGGTAAGTGTACACTAACAGATTTGCTGAGCCTAAGCAGTGAAAACAGGAGGACAAAACAGGACAAAAAGTCCCTAGGCTGCGATGCAGAGGTGTGCGTCTTTGGCTGTAAGCATGTCAATTACTGCAGAAATAATTCAGAAAACATTATTTTTCAATACTGCTATTTGCAATAATGGCAAGGTGTACTACTGCATCTTTACTTGTCTTTAACTCGAACCTAGAGAAACTAGGACACGTGGAAAAAAGAAAACAAGGCCTGCTGCAGGCAAATTATATAGGAAGCAGATTGGAACAGAGGCTGTTCGAACTCTTTTTAACCAGTCAAATGCAGCAGTAGTTGAAAAACATTAGCAAGAAATATGCATTTGTGTGGATGTATTTGTGCCCCAGGAGGCCCTGCTGCTAACTTCACCTTCTGCAACAAAACACAGCTTCCATCCCAGATAAAAATTCAATTTCAATTAACATTTCAAATTTAGAGTCAGTAAGCAAAATTTTCTAAACAAAAGTATTGACTACTTACTAGCAAGCGTGAATTTCTACTGAGAAGCCAGGAGGAGAAGATTGCCAGGTAGCTTCTGTTTAAGCTATTTGAAGGTGGATACTGAAGGAGGAGACTTATAATTGACTGCAAAAAAAACTTTTCTCAAAATAGACTGTACAGAAGCACAGGTCAATAAGTATTCGTGGTATGCAGCTTAAATAGCTAGATTGTATAGAAAAAGATCTTTTGAACCAACAGTGAAAGTATTTTATTTTAGATAGTCATTTTAAGGCTGTAATCATAACTTCACAAATGCAGGGAAACTATTCTACACATTCATTCAGCATGGGCATTTAACAGTTCCACTGCAGAAATAGAAAAATGAAGATTTCTGAAGTCCACATTGTTCTGTCCAGCCACATAATAGATCTTCACAGCATAAATGGGACTAGGTGCTCTTCAAAGGTAGTGAGGCTTTTTTCTTTGCTTTGCTACTTAATACAGAACAACTGTTCCACTTAATCATTTCTCTACCAGGTAAAACATGCAGTGATACAGATAAATTTGCAAGTTTATTTTGTGGGGTGATGTCCTTTGGCTTAAATAGTACCATTGTATGTAGGTAGCAGTGTGTGTACATACAAGATTGGTCTTTTCTTTTTTCATTTCAGTAAATATTCTCTCTTGACAGTATTGTTTTGTTTTTTCATTTTCCACTTATGAAACAATCTACTTCCTGGTCACTGCAGTATCTTTCCTGTGCATTTCTTCCTATTAGAACTTTTATTGTAAGCAAGAGGTCTTTTGAAAGCCTGGTGCAAAGGCATTGTTATTTGCTTCGTCTTCTGGAAAATTGTGTCATTTTAAGATCATATTTGACTTCCTGTGCCAAAATCACATTGCTGGCTTGATTGTCATTTGATCAATTATTATCCCAATGTCTGTCTTCCCATTGTCAGTTTCCAGCTCAACCTTTTGGCTAATTGCAGAAATTATTCCTAAATGAATGACCTTGCCATTAGAATTTTCACTTTCATTTTTCTCCCCCAGCAGCCTTTTGAGTTTGTTATGGAAAGGTTGCTGTACATGTCAGGAAAAATGTACTACAGAGAGAACAGATTTGGCCATAAAATCTCTGTATATACAAGAAATTCTGGTAAAGTTTATGGAAACAGTGGATAATTCTGATTTTGTGTGTGCACAACGTATAGAATGGGAATTTTTTGTCTTGAGGCTACCATCAAGATGGCAACTTGTTTAACATGCCTTTCTAGCTACCTTTCATTGTGCATGTTCTTCAATCATTTTTGAAATGCCAAATTAATATTTGATATGCCTGTTATAATTTGGCAAGGTAGGTCACCAACAATAGACATTATCTGTTTGTACAAAGCAGGCACTAAGCCATATTGCTTCCAATGCTGAACATAAAATCACTCCAGATAACCACATAAGTAACCTTTCAAAATAAAATTTCTTATCAGTGATCTTACAGTTGACAAGTACAGACTGTAAAAATTGCAAGAGAGGAATCCAGATGGTAGGGTAGTATGGAAAAGGTCTGTCACTCATGTAACAAGCTATAGAGACCAAAAAAATTCTTAATCTGCTTATAGGACAGGCTGATAACTGGAAAGATGAAGCTGGTAACAAAAGAAACATAATGAGAAAATGATCTACTCAATGTGTAATTAATACTAGCATCTGTCACCTTCTCACAAACGCTGCACTAATCAGAGGATTTTGTCATGTTACTAAAATGTTTAGAAACTTAACCTGTAAAATAATGGAATCAGATGTATATAAAATTTGTGTTGTTTTGTGCAGTATTCTATACATGATCTGCTTGTGTAGTGGGATAGCTGAATTTTATTGAATGTGTGATTGCAGAATTGTATGTACGGTCAGACATCACCAGCTAGACTCTGTAACAAATACATACAGGGCATGTGGATGTGCAAATAGTGCAAGTAACACTAGGCAAACAATTCTGACGACTGTTCTTGTTCTATACCCATCATTGCTCCTTTTGTCTGTTGTTCATTTCTGCATCTTAAGTTGGTTTCTGATTAAATCAATGCATTCTGAGCACAACGTATTATTTTGAATGCTGTGAGTAGCACAATATTTTCTTAAAGTAACAATCTTGTAATTAATTGTTTTCTGGAACTTTTAGTGCTAAATAGAAATTCCGAACCTGCAGCACTTAATCTCAAAAGCCATTTGAAACTGCTTTTCAATAAACAATGTTAATAAAGATTTGAAAAATAAAAATTAAAAAATAGCATCGTCAATAACATTTCATATTGCTGTTCTACCTTGAGCTTGTTGAGCTTGTTGGTAAATCTTAATGCTGACACTTGGTGTATAATCTGTTTGATTAACAGAAGATGTCACTTTGAAGTGCTTAAGCAAAATGGATTGGTGGGGAAAAAAAAAAAAAGAATGTTTGGTATAATATGAAATTAATTATAGATTAATTACTGTAGTAACTTTTTTTTTCCCCAGGATTAATCTGATCTTTAAGTAAAGATCTGTAAAAGCTGAACCTTTTTCAAAGTCTTACAATTTTGTTTGCGTTTCAATCTTGTAGGATGCTACAACAGTTATTGCCTATCCAGACCACTTCTGTTCTCTTCCTTGACATTTAAAACTGAAGATTTGAGTTCTTAATGAACCAAAGCAAGTGCACAAATTCATCTTCAGGGGCATTTAAACAAAATAGTTATGAGTTATTTGTATAGAGGATGTAATTTGCATAAAATTATCAACTTCTCGTCTTAAATTAGAGTAGTTTGGAGCACAACTCCTTCATGTCAGGGGAAGGAAGCCATTTTGTGTCAGCTCAGGAAGTTCTCCATTCTGCTGATGAAGCATATTTTCAAAATAATTGAACACTTTCAATGGGTTCATACAGTGCTAAGGAACGATTACCTGGGAATGTTTGTAAAACATAAAATACACTGAGAAATCTCCTTCCCATTTTCACTGTCTTTAATTCAGATATCTAAATAAACAGTAGAACTGCTTGAAAACTGGAAACTGTTCCTTTAGGGAAGTCATGGTTTGTTGGGAAAACAGATATTGCTACTGGATGTTTTTGTCCAAAACTAAAATGATTTAGTTATGATTAGCAGTGTTTTTGGCTATTGTTTTAGCTATGTTGTGATGTGTTGTAGTTTGGATGCCTGTTATTAATATACTACTTCCATAATGTGCCATCTCTGGCTGTACACAGTTGTTTGATCTTATTCATAGCATTTTGAGAAAGATTTGGGAATTCTTTAGTCATGCTGCAGTGTTAAAGACTTAATGCAGAATAAGAATTCAACTGATACAGGAAAACTGGGACTGAAATCCAGTTTGTGATATGTTGAGTTTAGGGCTTCCCTTACTGATTAATCAAGGATTTCCTGCAGAGGCATTATATGCAGTGGTGCAAGTATTTTTCTTTCTAAACTACTCAAATTTCTGTTGTTTTCTTTTGTTTCTTTTTTCCCTTCCACAGATGTTACTGAATGCCAGCCTTGTGAGAAACTCATGTATGAATTTGAATTTAGTGATATGACCTTAATTTGCACTAGGGTAAGCTTAGGTTGGATATCAGGAAAAACTTCTTTACTGAAAAGGTTGTTTGTTAAGCACTAGAATAGACTCCTCAGGGAGGTGATTGAGTCACCATCCCTGGATGTGTTTAAAATCCATTTGGATGTGGTGCTCAGGGACATGATTTAGCAGAGGGTTGTTAGGGTACCATGGTTAGGTTGTGGTTGGACTCGATGATCTTTAAGATCTTTTCCAACCTGAGTGATTCTATGATTCTGTGATTGATATGAAGTCCCAAACTGAAATTCCCACCTTACAAACATTTGTCTGTTAGACTACAGTAATTCAGTACTATTATAAAGCTTATAAAGATTTGTTTTTGAATAGTTCAAATATTGTATTTGAAGAAGTGCTGGGTTATTTTCTATCAACTCCAATTAAGATATTTTTAGTTTGTTTTTTCATCATTATTTGCTATTAATCTGATTTTCTGTGTTACAGGAAGGCCTATAAGTGAACTTTTTGTGTAGTCTAAGTTAGTTTTCATCAACTTATAACTAATCTTTATTATGCAAACAGCAGTACCACACTGAATTGAGTGATGAAGCTACCATTTTAAAGTTTCATCTGTGGCTTTCTTCAAAGGTATCGTGCTCAATCTAGTTCTACCTGTAGGAATGTTTTTCAGGTAATGAAGGTGTTATTTTGTCCATCTCAGCATGTGACAGTACCTTCTGCTTAAGTAAATGCTAATGGGTTGTTCACATGTGGTTGTTTAGAACCCTCGTTAATGTCAGTGACTTTTCTGTCTAATTCTTCACTTGCCTTACTTTGGGTAGAGCATCCAGCATCTGTTGGCTCTCTGTTTTAGGAAACTTGAGGAATAATTGTACTTTTGTATTCCTGAAATAAACTTTGTGGTCTTATCTTTGGTCTTGTTTCCTCTCTTCCTCCTTCAATTTAGGAATGTAATTATTTGTTCATTTCTGTTGCTTTTATTAACGAAGAGTTTTTTTCTTTATTTCGTTTCCTGTATACACTGGGGCATTCATCATGAAGAGCTATCAGATATGTTTACTTGACTACGTGCATTGTGTATTTTTACTTATTTATTCTTCATTATTTAAAAAAAAAAGCATCACTCAGTAACGTGTTTAAGGGAAGAAAGAAAGAAGAGCAGTAGGCAAAGCTAGGGCAGAATCAGGATTTTATCTCTGTGTGCTAAGCTGCACAAGATTGCTTCTAAATATGCACCAGTGGGACTTGTTTTTGAACAAATTTTCTGAGGTTGATCTAAACTGCACTACGGAGATTTGTAAAGAATTACCTGACTTTTGATTGGGCGTAACTAAATCAGTGTATGTTTGTCCTGGTTTTATCAGTATTCCATATCATAACATCATGCTACAGGCTGTTGGGAGCAGAGACGCGGCGCAGTGCAGAGCTGTGCTGCTTGTTTATCTCCAGCAGTCTCATGTGAGACCTGACTCCCCAAGAGGAAGATACTCTGGGATGTACTGCATTTCCCAGGAGCCTCCACATGGTTTCCGATTCCGGGGGATGGGGAAGAGCCGTCTTTTCTGAGGGGTGAGCGGTGGAGGGCCTGTCGAAAAAGGCTCAGGCTGACTCTCTGATCCTGCTTTGTTTTTGGTTCATTTTTATTTATTGCTCGTAATTATTCTGTATTATCTCACATTCCTTTTAATAAATTAGTTTCTCCTATCTGAAACGGGCTTTTCCCTCTTCCTTCCCACCCCTTTCTCCTGAGGGGAGAGAGGGATGTCGTGTGATTAACTCTTCAAACGACAACACTATTTTGGTGCCCACCGTGGGGTGTCACCCAGATGTCCTGTATGGGACCCCAGTGTCACTCAGATATCCATGGGGCAGCAAAAAAGTGTCATGTGATTAATTCTTCAAACCATAACAGTGTTAAACTGAAATAAGCCTAAGTTAAACCAAAGTAGAAGTGCCTGCAGCTTTTGTATGGGCATGCCTTAAATTAGGTTAAGATGGTGCAGGGGGTGTAAATGTCAGTTGTTGGATAAAACCTAAATTAGAGAAATTAAGAGAAATTTGGTAACAAAAAGAAAGAGCATTAGAAGTCAATGTGCAGTGAAATGATGAAAGTCTTTTGTGGAAAAGGCAAAATAATATCATAGAAGCAGAAACCCAGGATAGTGTCTGAAGCTGGAGTTCTAAATAGCATAATAGGATGGTGGTGAACAATAGAGTGAAATCAATGACAGATGGAGACCGCAGACAAGAGAAGCTAAGTAGCTGGGAATTATCAAAAGAGCAAGCAGATATGTGATAGGAAATGCAGTGCACATTTTCAATATACATACACATCAAATTATCACAGCCACTGATAACTCATGCTGACAACTATCCTTTTGTTATGTTAGTGCTAAAGCAGAGCTGTGCAGTAATTCCTATGTAACTTACAATGATTCCAAAACCTACAGGTAACAATTAATTTCATGTTTAAAAAAAAAAATAGGATTGGACAAATCCAGTGTTTAAATAAGCACAGAAAAAAACCCAGAACTTTTCAGAAAGCGTGCTACCTTTAGTACTGGGTTAGTAACTGAGAAAATGGACATATTTGTCACCACAGCTTTTTCTGGAAAACAGAAACATAGATGGTATTCAGGTACATTAGAATGCCTGTACAATGTGATGGATTCTTCAGCACTCCTGTTCTTTCACCTGATGTCATTGAAGATGTAAATAGATAATAAGGGAACTTCAGAAAACACGAGTGTGTATCTACTGTAAAAAGGTGTGATGGGATTTCTGGGGCCGACACAATAGTTGTTTCTCAGAATTTAGAGTGAGAGATGTCTGTGCTGAAAGTGAGCTGGCCATATAATAGTATAGGAAAGCAGTTTTCAAAAGAAAGTATGTTAGACTGGTTGCAGACGGGTACGAATGAGGATGATAAGAAGTACTCACAAAAGGAATGATGAGATTGCTGAATTAAGATTCCATCTGTAATTAAAAAAGGTTGCCAGTCACACACACAGGTTCTCCTAAAGGACATGCAGATTCCCTAGAAAAGGACTTTCAATTGTAATGCTGCTGTACTGCAGGACTTTTATACAGCAAAGCAGGGAGTCCAACTGTTCCATTATTTGGCTCTTTACTCTGATGGAAAAGGGAAAAAAAAAGGAGGGGGATAAAGGGAGGAAGGGAAGAGAAATTAAGAGCATAGTCTAGACCAGAAATTGTAACAAAGAGACCTTGAAAATGCAGTAAGAAGGAGGAAACTGAAAGAAACTGCTTCGAAAGAAATCTGTCAATATCTTAGCCATCTAGAAAGGAATGTTATGTCTCACACTTAGCTAGCATCCTTTGTTCTGTTAAATAGTGGAATAATCTCTTCGTGGTGATCTTATCTAGGTCTGCCTGTTTAATCATGTTAATAAATGGCAAGTATCATGCTCATAATTGCAGGCTCTGATCCTCAGGAGTCATTCTTTATTCTCTGTTAGCATTGCTTTCCCCAAAGCACATACCCCCCTCCCTTCTGCATCGTCTCATTGTCCTGCTCTTGTATTGTTCCCTCTGATCTTTATACACAGGTCTGCATGAAGGAAGAAGTTAACCAGCCTTTGAAACACCTGTGCTGTGAACATCTCTATTTTGCTTTCTTTTTCTTCTTGCAAGTTCTGGGAAAATACTTGAGAAAAGATATTGATCAAGGTATAAACGAGATATGTAACTGAGAGGAAGGGAACAGACTGTGTCAAGGCAGCAGATTACTTGCTCAGACTCAACAACTTGTGCATTCCCTGAACGAAAATACCATTTTTTTCTCTAAACTTTTAAATTCCTACTTTGTTCTGTATTTTACTGCATTGTGTTTCAGATGCTTGAAATGGAAGCCTTTGTCAA